GATCATCTGCAGCTCTTTGCAGTGGCCAGGGACTCAAATGGAGGAAGAAAAAGCACCTCCTCCACATCCGCTGTTAGATGGATCACAGAGGACGAGAGCGATTCTCAACAGTTATTATCACAGACTGTTTATCCTTTTTTCAGTTACTTCTCACACAAAGTCCTCCTCACTGATGATTTCTCTAGTCCCCACATGCAGTTTCAGTCTAAATATATAAAAAGTCAATATATAAAACTGAAATTAATTTCACTGGATTTTCCCTATATCTTGGCTCCAAAGTGGCTAAAATACTTTACACGTTGTTTTGTTGAAATGTGATAACAAAGATAATGTGAGAACAGGTACAAGATGCCAGTATCAGCAGAGATCGCTACAGTATGAGTTCTTCTTCACAGCTAAAGTAGAATCTTGTACTGGGAGTATGAGAAACAATTTCTCTCAAACATAAAACTCTCAAGTGCATATATGATGACCTAACAGGGCGACTTGGCGGCAGTGCGTGAGTATGCATCTGGGAAAGGGGAGGAATTCGACCCCTGACACAGTCCAGCAAATGTTACTGCATTTATTTTTTGGCTGAAAGTTTAATGTTCTTTTCCCAAAGACTTCTATTTTTTGGGAGGGTTAAAGCTGAAGAATAAGTAGGCCGGTGTTCCCCTCTATTAGCAGTACAAGGATAAACTATCTGTCCTGTGAAAAAAGGCCATTTAGGGGCACAGAGGGAAGTTCCCTGCATCAAGTAGTGTAAGACTGGCAAGCAGGTGGACGGACTGACAACAGATGGTCAGACTGTCTCTCAGACACCACAGACATTTACATACACCAAAAAATTATATCTGAATAGTTTATTGTCAAACTGTCCAGACAGTGTTAATCCGTAAAGAACTATAAAAAAAAGACGGAGTTTTACTGCACTGCAGGACTGAGTCTCTGTGTGTGCCTGTGTCTCTGTATGTTACCATACTGGGAGATGTCTCTTTTCAGGAAAAAATAGGTTAACATCAGCATAAGGAATTAACTTAATAACTGCAAAAATAAACATTAAGCTGGGGAATTCTGTAATTGAGCTGAAACTAAAGTGATCTACACATCGATTAGGACTGAAGAACAAAACAAAATCCTGCACTGACTACTTGAAAACAAAGCTGTGGTACATGCACATAACTAGAACCAAGACTACAAACAGATCAATACAACCCACAACCTAAGATTAAGAGTAATGGATTCCTCTTGGAGCTGAGCATCTGAAGTCAAGCCCAGGACCACTAATCATTGTTCAAATAGTAAAATGATCAACTCAGAGAGCAAACATGAAACTGAAATAAAGCACAAAAACGATGGTAATTGCACTCCAGATGGAGGTTTTGTTTTTTAGTGCAGTATTCAAAAAATCACAGGCTGATGTGCACGAGTATGCATGAGTCTTTGTGAGCTCATCTTGAGTCGAGGGGAGGGGAGAGCCATATTGACAACATCGGAAAATTCTTATTGATTATTCTTCTTTTCTCTGAGCACCGGCTTGTTAAAAAAGACCCCTCTTGGAAACACGATCAATTAGTGAGATAGTGCTTGCCATTGATCACCCCCTATCCACCCCCCACCTCACAAGGCCTTACTATGGAGCCCTCCACACACTCCTTATGACCAACTATTGATCCCAGCTTCTTAGCCAAATATAAAAGCACGCACACTCACACTGAGCACCGACCCCTTACATACAAACCACACAGTCTAATACTAATACTGACATCTGCTTGTCTCCATTGTAAACCCATGGTTCTCTCATAAATACAGAGGCCAGCTTTGGCCCAGAACCAATATAGTTTCTCTGAGGTCAGGGGTCAGCATGGCAATAATGCCGCCATTAACAGATCCGCCTGGGTTAAAACTTCTCAGAGGAGAAAAGCTTTACGGTGTGAATGCAACAAAGATTGGTGGGAAATATTGGTTTTATACATAGGACCTATTTTTCATTTAAGTTGGTGCAAGGTTTTAGCATGGGCCAAGTAAGAACCCAATCAATTTTAGAGGAGATCCACACCAGGGACACATTATTTTTCATCTATGAAAAGGGCCCTGCTGGAGGTCTGCGCTCTCTGACTGGCTTTCCACTATTTTTCAGTAGATTAAAAAATCTGTTGCTGATTTAGTCATCAAACTTAGTTTAAACTGAAACATTTCATTTGGGGAGGCAAAACCAGCTTTTTTGGCTTGATAAAAATAAAATACACAATCAATCAAAAATAGTCATTAAATTCTCCAATAATCAAAAAAATGTATCCACTAATTGGTTCTGCAATAAAATAACATCTCAGAGCTGCCATAAAAAACAAAAATATCACAGCTAAATATAAATATTTTACTCCAAAATAGAAAATTAATAAAAGCTTTGACTGCATGAGTTTGCGGAGTTAGTGAAGATGTATGGTGATGACCCCAGAGGAATCAATCTATCTATCTGTCTATTGATCGATCATCAAACCAATCAGTGAACATGTCAGTCCATCAGCCAAAGATAAGACACTCTGCAAACAGAGAAGTCGCATCAGGCCTGTGAGCGTAGCAGTTCAACAATGTTAAGATTGGATGATTGTAAAACTATTAGACACAGCAGGCAGCGGGGCATTAGATCATTCTTCCCTATTGGCAACTTAAGAGTCATCTCTTTGTCAACGACTGCCCTTGCCCTCTTCATCCCTCGGTCCCTCCACCCTCAATCCCTTCACCCCTCCCTATGGATCAGCTGTGATCTCCTCTCTCTCCTTTCACTCAAATCAGGATTAGGGAGAAGAGGAGGTGGAGGGGTGCAGCAGCAGCAGCAGGAGAAGGGGGGGGCAGAAAACTGAAACAATATGGAAAGGAGATTAGAAAAGAGGGGGTTCGGGCCGTTTGGGGAATTGCAAACTCCCTTGTGCTTGGGTAGGTGTCCTAATGACACCGCCTAATTATGGCAAAATTAGACAGGCTAAAGGGGGGGGGGGGTGGTTGTGGTGGAGGAGAACGTAACGTGAGGGGGAAAGAAGAGGAGCGGGGGAATTAAGCAATGGGGAGTAAAGAAGTAAGCGCACAGTAGGTGCATGTGAGAGCGAATAGAGAGAACAAGAGGGGTGTGCAGAAGTACAGATATAGAGGTAAGGCAAGGAGGAAGGGAGCGGGGTTGAGTGAAAGAGAAAACAGGAAGAAAAGGGGTAGAAAGCAGTGGCTGGGCGATAGCAGCGAGTGGGCCCCAGCACGCTGCATGTTAATTGGAGAACAGGTGTTGGGGCTGGGAGCAGGAGGCTGATTACTGGAGCCACAGAAACAGACCTACACACACACACACACACACACACACACATGAATAATTTAAAACCCATGCAGTGACTAGGGAAAAAAGGTCAAAGCAGGGGTCACCAAGACACACAGACAATCGGACTATACATCCATATACATCCATAAATAAACATGCAGTGGTCGTCTCACACACACATGAAAATATACATCCGTTTGTGTGCACTCAAACAGCATATACATGCTCTGAACACACACACACATCTGTCGATTTCTTTTTACTTTTTCAGTGTGTGGAGTACATGCATACAGTTAAAAGAGAGGGATAAGTTGGGATAAAAGGGCACAAAAGCCACTTAAGAGTTCCATTGGCTTATCAGAAATTAACTGGCTGCTTATAGGCTGCTCCCTGAGGAGAGGATTTCACAGGCCAGTCAAGAGAGAGAACCCCCATCAGGACGGGATATGCCCAGTGTGATTAGAGAGTACAGTAGGTCAATGATTCCATTTAAATCAATCCTCACACCAGCCTGCACACACACACACACACACACACACACACACACACACACACACACACACAGAGTCAACGAGTTATAGATAGCGCTTTCTTCAACACCCCACCGTCAAACAACACATTTTAAAATGTAGCCATGTAAGGAGGAAGTACAAAAGGGTTGCAGAGGGGGTTATTGGGAGTGTAATGTGCTACAGTAAATGAGAAAAGCAGCTGCTCTAAGATATTCTGGGAAAATTCAAAAGACAACAGCTCGATTTTTTCCGTTATATGAAAACTATCTTCAGCAGAGATCCTTTGAGACACACTGTCAACAGCCAGCCAGCTTGAACTGAGGAGGGGGAAGAAAAGGGTCCTTGACGTATATGAAGTGAGTGTTTTCTAGACAGACGATTGTAGGGAAGAAGCGATAGAAATACGAAGGAAAAGAGATGAAGGTTGCGTTTATGACATCACATAGAAAGTATTTCACATGAGGTGTGCTTATGAGCATTCATCACACTGGTATAGGCCGACACGGGACCTCTGAAATCCCTCGGACGTGAAGGCCCTCACACACGCTGATTACTGCGGGGGTCATCTGCCTTTAAGCCTGATAACTGGCTGTCATGGTGAACATTGACTACATGTGTGCGCCTGTCTGGTGGTCCACATGATCCACATGCTTCTGATGAAAAGAAACCTGCGCTTATAGGCCGGTTTCAGGTGCAATGTCAGCAGTCAAAGGTAATGAATGATCGAACTGAAACAGCAGGTGAAGATCAACAGATAAACACAAAGCTGAAGAGAGGGGGACACATGGGAGACAGACATGGATGCAGATACTTTACACTTGCCTTGCATTAATGCAGTGTAAACTGACATGGCAGAAACACTTGTTGTAAATATTCATTTCAAGGTGATGCATGCATGCATATATTAATATGGATATGTGAAATACACACACAAACATTAACACCACTACATACATATATCCAGCCCACACATCTGTACATGCATGTGCTTTATAGCCACTCCTCTCACTGGTTTGTGTAAATGCAACAGCTGATTGGTGGAGTCTCATTTCAACAACCTTCACATCAAGCTGTGATCTCTCTTATTCTCCTTCATTCTGCTTCGATGTCATGGTGTGGGTGCATATATACAAAGAAGGGTGACCCGAGCATTTAGTATGAAGAGGTGCTTGTTATGGGACGTGGTTTGATCTCATTACCTGTCAATGATGACTGGGTCAGAGGGCGTCTCGTTTCGGTTGCCACAACTCTTCTTCTCACAACAGCGGCTGAGTAGGAAGTTAAGGGAGACAGAAAGGAGGACAAAGTCAGTTGAGGAAGAAAAAAACAAATTAAACAGGAGGAGACATCATTTGTCTGGCCCTTCCACATCCACAGGCCCAGACTACTTTGCCCCGCAGTCGGCCATGATCCAGGAGCAAACAAAAGAGGCATGAGAGGGGAGGGGGAGAATAGACAAAAGAAGAAAAGAGGAAGAAAAGGTACAACAACACACCCTACAAACAGTGAGAGACCATTCAAAAGTGAAAAGCCAGCCAGGCAATCTGTCACATTGATTTGGAAATCAAACTCAACCCCCACGCTGCCTCGCACACACACACACACACACACACACACACACACACACACACACACACACAACACACACACACACACACACACACACACACACACACACAACACACCACACACACACACACACACACACACACACACACACACACACACACACACACACACACACACACACCGTCCCACAACATCCTACCATTCGTCAGCAGTCCTGTCCGAGGAGCCTGCTGGCCACCCAGTCCCCCCTCCCCAAAGTCCCCTTCACTGCATAACAAAAGTGCCCCCACCCCTAACCATCTGCCACCCCTACACCTCGCCTCACCCCTCTCGTGTCCCAGCTTGGCCCTGCCCTGCCCCCCTCCCCCCGCCCCCCTGTCAGACGGCCTCACTCCCCAGCTGTGACGCTTGCCCTCTGCCTCTTCGGCTCTGTTATTAGCCAGCTGTGAGTCACATTCGGGCATCTGCTGGCTACACAATGGCAAAGCCCACTCTGTCTTAGCCCCTCTCCCCCGTGTCCCAGCCCCCTATCCTTCCCCCTGCTGCCCTCCAATCCTGGGTCACTGCCCCACTTCCACACCGCTCTCTCCAGCTTTTTCTCCATCCATAACCCCGTGATCACCTATTTTCTTCTCCACCAAACACTAACCAAAACCTTCTGGTCCCTGAAGCTCTTTAAAGGGCTGGGACTCTTTAAACTCACTTCATAACGACTCTGTATAACACTGGCTGTGACACTGGAACTATAGCACTGACTGACAAAGTTCAGACATGGTGTATAGGCTGAACAGCAGTGTTAAGGTTACATTTCGATGAGGGAAAGGCAGAATATTTCCCAAAAGAGTATGTGCTGCTGTTAGCTGTGGGGTGTCTGCAACACTCGAGGCTACAGAGTGAGAAGATCCAGGAAGAACCAGGAGCTGGCCGGGGACATGCTGTGTTACAGCAGAAATCTGTGGGGGGTTACCACTGTAACAAGGATGATGACAGACAGGCTAGACTTATAGTTCAACCACATTCTAGTTTTCAAAAAAATGGAGAGCCCCAAGCGCCGTCCCAAAACTACATTTCAAGCTGGCTGAAACAAAATAGAGTGAAGGAGAGGAATGGATATTTGGATTTCGTCCCTGTGGATGAAGGTTAAACAAGTGTGTGTGTGTGTGTGTGTGTGTGTGTGTGTGTGTGTGTGTGTGTGTGTGTGTGTGTGTGTGTGTGTGTGTGTGTGTGTGTGTGTGTGTGTGTGTGTGTGTGTGTGTGTGTGTGTGTGTGTGTGTGTGTGTGTGTGTGTGTGTGTGTGTGTGTGTGTGTCTAAGACTCACCTGCACATAACCTCATGTGTGAGCAGAACTCTGCACATTTCTGGATTCTTGTTTTGTCCCTCATACGCTATTGGCTGAGAGAAGGACAGAAGTAATAGGACACATTAAGTTTCAAGTAGACCAAGTTAGACTCTTATTTCAATAGTTTGGAATAAAATAAAGTTTACAAACCTGTTTAGTGACAGAGTCAATAAGTCGTGCATACAGATCCTGCTCTGTGCGGACCCCTGCAAAAAGAAAATCAGTTGTTATCAACGGCTTTCACAAGTCATTTTAGATATGGCAGAGATTGTACTGGTATTATAATCTCTTGTCCTAAATGCTTTAGTAAAAATGGAAACTGGGAGTCAATGGAAGATTGAGAAGCAACCAAAACTGCACTCACAATCCTAAACCTGCTCTGACCTTTGAATAAAAAAAGTACATAAAACTGAAGCTTCTCAAAATAAAATGGAATGATTTATGGCATCAATCTTTTTTTATCTCAAACTCTGGACTAGCGCTCAGAAAAAGCATTGAACTCGGTCCAGCTAAACATGGAGGAATAAGATTGGCTTGCTGTTCATATTTTCTCTGATGGTTTCTGAGGGGATTGAGAGTTATTTGATGTATGATGATTATCAGTCATGTTCGGCTTTGAGGCCAGAATTTACGAGCACATTCTCACGGTTTGTCAAACGGTTTGTTTTTTGTTATTTCTCAGTTAACTTCTTGACTTATTCCCAAGTTAACACGACCGGATACTAGCTGGTATGTTACCTGTCATACACCAACAAGTAAAAAAGCACCTGATCAGTCAGTGAAGGGATTTCATAGTTGACTGTATGACTTTTTTTCTCGTTTCTTTGTAAATCGGGTGTGTCTCTGAGTGAGATACACCTGAACCCTCCGGATGATTCCAAACCTCCGCTGTAAGTCTCAGAAGATACAGAAACGACATGTAATGAATGGCTTCTTAAGACATGAACGCATTACCCACGTTATTTTTTGTGACTTTGGAGAATATTGCTTTCAAAATGTGTTCCTCTCATCAAAGTCTCGATTGAGATGCCTTTGATATCGCTTGGGGGAAGGGGATGAGAGGAGGGGATGCAGAGGAAATGCTTTTGGTGTGCTTGTACATGTGTGTGCGTGTGTGTATGGTGGGTGTGTGTGTGTGTGCGTGTGTGTATGTTGGGTGTATAAGGGGGTTGCTCTGGAACATGTCTTTTATCTTCTCTCCCATGGGTGCTCCTGCGATGGCAGAGTAGGGGCAGCAGTGGCTCATGGGAACCGAGTTTCTCTGCGGATCCCCCGATCTGATGTGAAAGCACTACGGGGGGTTGGAGTAGTTGGAGGGAATATGGGGGGTGTTGGAGTGGGGGGGGAAACATGTACCTCATCTCCCCATACATGCACCCAGAAGTGGCTCCTCGCAGAGCTGAACGATGAATTGTACAAACCCAGTGATTAGAGGATGAGGGGAAGGTAATTGATGAGCTCAGAGAGGAGAGGAGAGGATGTGGAGGAAGATTACTTAAGTGGAAAGGTGTGTGTCAGGTTAGCCCTGACGGTGTCAACTCCTGTAGAGACAAATTAGACAGTGCAAAAGATCCTACATATACTCTGAGATCTCTGGTTTGACTCACCGTTGCTGTAGAGCAGCTGCAGCTTGTAGTGCGTGCCGTTGTTGGTTTTCTCCCCTGTCTGTTCCTTAGAAAGGGACAGACACACAGACATGCCGTTAAGCACATGTGAGGCACAGATAAGTACAGCTGAGCATCCTCACACAGTGTTAAGCACAGCGAGTCTCTCCTAATCCTGTAGCTCGCCCTTCCCTGACAGCAGCACTGAGATCAGAGGGTTGTAGGCTCAAAGCCCATGTGGGACCTTTCGTTGTGTTTGAGAGCTGAGCGCTTAACCTTGAGCCGGATGTTCTTTGTAGAGGTTGAACTATCATGTCTGATGCAAACTCCTAAAACCCTAAGATCAAATGCAGAGGTCCTCCTCGCAACGAGGTAGCCCCGCCATGGTTATATGTGTGCGTGTGTGTGCAAAGTGTGGAAAGTACTGTATGTGAGACTGAGCAGCAGTCGACCTTGACAGAAAAACTTCCTTTCCGCTATCCCTCCCTCCCCCAGGCTCTCCACTAGCCTCTCGCTTCTTCCTTCTCTCCCTCTCTCTGTCTCTTGTTCCCCCTCTTTCTTTCTCTTCTTCTACCTCTACTGGTCTTTCTAAGTGGTCTCAAAGGAATGCTCTCTGGTCCAATAACCCAGGAGGCTGGCATCACGAAGACGAGTGCGAGGGTGGAGGAGAGAGACCGAGAAGGTTGGGGAAGTGGAGAAAGTGGGAGACAGTTGCAAGGTGGAAGAAGAAGTAGGGGAAATTAAGATGCATGAAGATAAGTTGGGAAGTAACAGAGCTCCAAATAATATCAAACTTAATAAAGTGAGATTGAGGCTGGGAGATAGATGGATGCCTAGCTTCATAAGTTTTGTGAATATACACAGAGGAACATTTATTTCGCCCTGCCATCATTCTACCTTTGCATAATTACAAAGCAAAAACAGATGCCAGGTTAACCATGCAGAAAATGAACTCCTCCACTGCCGTCATATTACTATACGCTGGCCTGGGTGGCACAAAGGGAGCACGCTGACAGCTTTAAGCCCTGGTGTTAGCACTGCCGCCCTCTCCCTCCCTCCCTGCCCATGAAATTCATAGTAAAACTATGTTTGAACTTCAGCTGACAGGACAGTGTCCTCTTGTCTTTCTCACGGGGGAGATGTGTTGCCAGTTTAGCAGGCTCTGGCACCACAAGGCAGAAACATCCATCAACACCAGGCATAAGGCTCTCACTGCAGGCTCTTTCTAACGCTGTCTCCACACTGCACTCTTCCTTATTTTGGTCCTGTCCAACCTGAGGAATCCAGCTCACCCCCACAGCAGTATTTAGAGTATGGCAGGGGGGGGGGAAGGAAAAGAGACTTTGATGATTAGTTCACTGTATAACTTAACAGGAGCAAGCATAATTTGCATTTTTAAAAGTAGTGATGTCCTCCTAATGAGGCAAGCTGCTAATTAGTCATTAGATATTCTTTTTCAATCCCACATCATCAGCTCATTGAGGGAAGAGCTTGTGTAAACACGTAGCCGTCAGCTGTTCGATATGCTTGGCTATACTGGGGATGGGGAAGATCAAGTTGAGCACCTGGTTACAGCTGAAATAGGCTTTAACTAATACAATCTGTGGCTGTTTTTTATACGATGCTGCTTCAGATTTATGGTTTGGGGTTTAAAATAACTGTGTAGATGATGAAATGAATTGATTACATCCCAAAATAATAGTCATTAAGACAGACAGGAATCCAGAAACATTAACACACCTTGTCATGCTCAACAAAGTCCACAAACGAAGTCCTCTCCACCTCCACAGGTTGGCCGTGTCTGTCATAGAGCGCCAGGACAAAGTGGAAGAAGTTGGACTTGCGGAGATTTGAGGGCGGCTGCTTCTCAAAGTGAGCTCTTGACAAAGCTACTCCACTGAGGACAAAACAGGGAGAGACAGTCAGTTACAAAGACGTCCACATTGTGTTAAAATGTATTGTAATACACTGATTTCTACTGATAATTTCTTTTTTATATTTAAAAGGACCATTTAACAAAGTTTATACAAAATTATTGAAAACTGGCTTTTTAATAATTAAAAATTAAACAACACAGTTGAGACTTTTCTCTGCTTGCAGTAAATCATGATAACTCAGTTAATATGCACAACAAAACATTTAGATTAATTTGCACTTTCAAGGCAGTTATTAATAATGATTATAATTAACATGAATAAGTCATTTTTTAATAATTACATTTTCCATTGATTATAACGTTTTTAATTCTCAAATGGATAAGGCCTTGATTTTATCACACAATAATCAGGCATATCAATAATTTGCAAAAGAAAAATAATCTAACTAACAATAACCTAAAATGTGCTTACATTTTCCCCATAACTTAAAGTCTACTTTACTTGTTTAGAAGAAACTGGTGGGGCATTGACATATATACACAAAACAAGGCAAGAGGAAAAACAAGAACATCTAAACTTAAACTGAGAAATAAAATGTAGACAATAAAATCAACACTTCTGACTTCAACATTAATGGAGCAGCATCATGGTTGAAATGTATAGTTTTTTAGTATAAATAGGCTACAGACTGTTCAAGTTAAATCACTTTAATGTGTATGCATATTGCGTGGAAGTCTGCACACAGTCGATTCTGTAAATTCGACTTCGGTCTTATTCAAAATAAATCAAAAATAAATCAAAACTTCAGTAGTGTATGTATTTTTTCCTGGCAACCTTAATTGTTTCTTATTAGAAATAATACACTTTGCCCCATAGCGAGTTTTTTTTTTCTTTTGATAAATCATTACAACCGTGATATTTAAAACAAGCCCAAATCTTCAGGTTCAATACAATACAAAGTATCGTTTTAATAGCGCCGTTGTTTTATCAGTAATTATTATCTATATTCTATCAGGAATTTTGTATTATGGTAATTTACTTTTCGGACCCTACATTTTATCCTGTTTTCTAAACTTTGCACACAATCGGGAATGAGTGCACTGATGTGTGTGTTGGTAAAGAAATGGAAAAACTAACGATGTTGATTAAACATCTGGTGGATGTTGAAAATAAATGTTTTTTTAACAATAGAAATACTGTAACTTCTGCAAAGGAGAAATCATAAATGTCATCTGTGTCGTCGATTAAGTGTTCTTTCAGTTTATGAATTACTGGTCTGGGGAAATACATTTAGCATAAGTCAGGTTTTCATAAATTGTGGTAAATTGTTTTTCTATTAAATATGTTGACCTTTTGCACAAGAGTAATGATATGATGTAATGCTCCTTGTATGACTTTATATTGAAGTAGTGCTGATTAGACCCTCTTAGTTATACGTGTTGGTAATATAGTTGCCCTGTTGTGTAGGCTACATAACATTTATTAACTCTAAAATAATAATAATCATATTAGGTTCTTTAGACATATTTAAAGACGTTTTATGAGTTGGGGGTAAATAGTGAGGACTCCTGTCATATTTGGCAACAAGTAGTTTGCAGGTCTTTCCTGACAAGGTCGACTCTTAATGAGTTAAATGTTTACACACTGTAACTACACTGGGCTCCTGCTGATTAAGAAAATAAATTATCTCATGTAACTGATGTAAAGATCTGGTGAGAAGGTAATGTCAATAAATCAGCTGTACTGTACCTTTGCGCCGCTAAATTAGCATCCACCACGCCGACATTACGCACCCACGACCGGATTGGATCCATCTCTTCAAGACTTCTCTCTTTTAATCCGCTCACTTCTCGTATCAGATGCTCCTGGATGCCAAACATTTAAGCCCTTGCCTGCGCGTTTCGGTGCACTTCTTTCAACTTAACACAAAACACCAAGAGTTGGAGAGCTAAAGCACTTTGGCAAACAACAGAAGGTCCACCCCAGGCGCTGCGCTCCTCCAGAGGTTTAAAAAAAACAAATGACCGATGCTGTGTGGTGTTCTTTCAGAAACGCCTCAGATAATGATCCACGCAAACTTTCTTTTAAGGCTGAAACGAAGATAATAGATATATTCCACCTCTAATTGAAAGCATTGTCCAAGCGCAAGTCTCCAGCGTCACTTCGAGCGCAAATGGTCACCTGCTCGGTGGCTCCTCACACACTGCAGAGCGACTCAGAATATTCAGTCAATACGTGTGTGCAGAAAGTCTTCCTTTGTCAGAGGGCCAGATCGGATCAAAACAGTTGATCCGAGGGCCAGGAAGCTTGCAGTGAACCGCTGTCTTGAAGCATGAATGAGACCCTCTGCCGGGATAGAGCTGGAGGAGGGGCCTTAGTGCCATATGGGGGACCGATTGTTGAAATGGATGCTCTCATTGGTGTAAAGTGCATCCGTTGTTTGGACTTCTGCCAGATTCAGCATCCAACCAGTGACTCTTGAGGCAAAGTTTTCACTCATTAAGTTTGGCCGGGTTGATGATGAAGGGAACACACACAATTTGGCACATTTGAAGCATACACTTCTCAAATATGTTGAGAAATGTATTTGTGGTGTGACAAATATAGACATGAACGAGTTTCTTTGTAGGTGTGATGATAAAGGGGGGTCTTTACAATCAATATTATTCAACCTCCACATTGTAGACAAATGCTCAAAGTGATAGGGTTTTAGTGTTGTACTTGTTATACTTTTTTGTGTATCTATGAATGTGTTTATAAAAGCCACACTTGAAACGTTGGTTTCAATTATTCTGTACATGCTGCCCTGAATGGTCGCTACACCAAATCCTGTTAGGTCTGTTCATTCAAGTCAAAATCTAACACAAGTGCGCTCTCGACAGGCGCGCATTCAGCAGCTCCACCGTCTGCTCCTTTGAACCAGTGATTCCGCTGAGGAGCATCGCATCAGTGTCAGCCGCAACAATGGCCGTCTGGTTGGTCCATCAATCACCGCACAGCGCACAGTGCTGCTCTCTGATTGGACCCTGACAGAGCCCGAACTGAGTTCTCAATCAATACAAAAGAATGGCTTATCAACAGTGGTGTAAAAGTAGATGTACTCAAGTACAATTTTGAGGGACTTGTACTTTACTTGAGAATTTCAATGTTGTGCTACTTTGTAATTATACTCCATATTTCAAAGGTAATTGATGTGCTTTTACTCCACTACATTTATTATATATTTGGTTTCTTTGCAGATTTTGTTTAATGATGTGAAATAGTTTCAACACTTAAATAATACTTTAGTTACACCTGGAGTTACCCTTACAAACTACCCTGCAGTATACAAAGGAATTCAAATTAGCTGCACATTTACCATGTGATAAACATTTTAATGCATCAATAATTATAATCAAAACATATATATTATTCTGAAATGGGCAAATCTGCATACTTTTGCTTTGTGTTACTTTAAGTATATTTTAATGCCAAAACTTTTCTACTTTTACTTGAGAAAGTGCAAGATCTGAGTACTTTTTATCAAACCCACAGAGGTCTTAAAATCAGTTCAAAAATAAAAAGAGAGGCTTCCTAAAGTGTTTTTTTGTAAGGTATCTTTATCATATAACAAAATGTGTTGATGTTATAAAAAGTATGTTGAGTTATTTTGGATAAAGTCTGGAGTTTCTTTAGCACGCTGATTTGGGTCATTTCAGGATAAGCAGAAATAAACCTAAATAAAGTAAAAGCCCTAGCTCTTGACATTATTTATTGATCATAATGTAATTCAAAAAAATGTTTGTGTTTAGGCCCAACAAAAGCTTTTATTTTTGCAGACTAAAAATTAATTTCCGCTTCTGTTCATCTGGCGTTGAAAAGGAAAGTTTTTTTTTCATCCCCTGGTCCTTTGGCCCTTACCGATACTATTGTCTAAGGGTGGAGTTTGTGCGCCCGGACAATGAATGTAAATCTCCCCCCTTTGGATCCCGCCTCAACCCACCATCTGCCAGCGCGGGACAAAGTCAGATGTTCCCCCAATTATGAGAGCAGTCTTGGGGAATCCTGCTGCTGAGTCTACGCCCCGTCTCCGTGTCCCTCACACACTTCCCCACACATGATTGACAGCTCTACTTAACCATGAACAATCTGTATATGATGACACACTTTAATACAAATTCCTCTACTGAAATACAAGGAGACGCGATCTAGGTTATCGGTGGTTGGGCTGTCTCTTTTATGTGAAGCAACATTGAATAAACTCGATTGATGCTCAAAAACTCAGGTAATCAACCCAGAAAGCTTGAATATGTTTGCAAGAAATCAAGGCTTCTGCAGACTCGAATTCACCCAAAGAGAAAATATGAATTACAAACTTGGACTGACTTTTCATTGCTAATGTTGGGTGGTGCCAGACTTCCAACACATCAATCATCAAACTAATTTTAGTTGTCAAACAGGTTTATGTGCCATCACATAAGAATGCTTTGTTAACTCATCTCATATAATTTGTTGGCCTATAATGAACCCACACAGCCTATTACCTGCGTTTATTTGGCCTGTTTTGGAACGCTTGATCTCGTTTGCAAAAAAATACATTAATCACAATCCTTTAATAGATTGCGTTTAAAATGTGTTCTCCCATATCTCACAAACGTAGCCTATATTTGGTTATATAATATTGGTTCAAATCGTATTGCTTGCGAAACTGAAGCTGGCTGGAAGTTGTACATGTTTGGCAGATTAAACAGATTAAACAGATCAAGTCTCGCCCTATTATTTGCATTATGTGTGTTTTGTGATGTGTTTCTGCAGCTCAGCCCCACAGGTGCGCCAGGCTCGGCCGTGATTATCATCCCCACCCGCAGGACTGCTGTCTGAATGTGGGGCTTTTCTAAATTGCTGGAGCGGAGAGTCGGGGCGAAAATGGGGGATTAGTCAAACCACAAACGTCTTTCTAATCAATTTAACCCGCTGAGACGGTCAGCCCGTGTGTTTTAGGGAGGAGGTGAGGGGGGGAATCAGTGACTGCTAAACCAAACAATGGGGTATCGTGTGCCGCTCGTCCTGCCCAGCATTCCCCTGCTCCCATGGGACACCCGGAGCCACTCTGTGTGGATGGCACTGTGTCCACGGAGGTCAGAAGGGGCGTGGTGTGTGTGTGTGTGTGTGTGTGTGTGTGTGTGTGTGTGTGTGTGTGTGTGTGTGTGTGTGTGTGTGTGTGTGTGTGTGTGTGTGTGTGTGTGTGCGTGTGTGTGTGTGCGTGCGTGTGGAGACCAAGCAGCTGGTTTCCGTTCTCCTAGAAAACAACAGAGCTAATGCGACCCACCACGTCTCCCATCGATCGCCATATATTGCGCTGCTTTTTTTGGTTTACTTATTTAGGATTTAAGCATGCAGATCCCCCGGGGAGTGTCGGCATCCCCAATTAAAGCAGAGTGACCACCTTTAGCCTCATTTCTTCAGTATCAAAAAAATCTTCTGCTCCAAACATTTGGATTAATCTTTATAAAAGCCTTGTTGTGATTTAGAGTCAAATAATTTCCTTTAAGAACAAATTGCAATACGGAAACAAAGCACATAGAAGGCTTTAAAAAAAAAATGCATAGCAAGTTTTAAAGCCAGTTGTTGATTATGAGTCTATTGTGCTTTTCCAGTTTTATAAAACTTGATATATTTGTATTCTGTTGAATTGGGTGTAATACATCATTATAGTTCTCCTTTTGAATTACAATCAACCTTTCACCTTCACTGCAGACACTTCAAATCCCTTTCACTCACAGTGAGTGAGTAAGGGATTTGTTTACAGCCCACCAAAATACTCCTGTGGTTTAACAATTGTCTGACAAAAACACAACTTCTTAAATATATTAAATTACATATCATTACCTAATATTATAATAACTTTGCTTTAGAAAAAGGGATTGCATTGACCTCCTGCTGAGGAAAAATAACTTAAAAACTGGGCTGATTCTTGATAGTCCATGTGTAAGTATTTAGAGGGAATAAAGTTGTTAAATGTAGTTATTGTAGATACAACATAAATAAATATCCATTCCATTTATTTTATTTACTCTAATGGAAAGTATTAAAACGTCTGAAGCTGAATTTGTTCAAAGCACAGATTAAACTTTGTGATCTATTTAGATGTGTTGCTTTATGTGTAAAGAAGCTCTGGTTTATTTTAAGAACCATTAAGTCCTGTTAGCAGAGCAGAAACGTACTAAAACCACCACAGGTTGTGTCTGCTTTCTTTAAAAGATTGTATGTCAATGCCATCTACTGGTCTGGTTAAGAATATCATCAACTGTGTTTTAGGGGGGGTCTGCAAACACATACCATCTCCTGAAGTCTCTGTCATTATAAATATCATTCGTAGGCAGGGTTCAATATATTATCATTTATTAACATATACATTTTAAAGTGACTTGCACTATCACAGCAGTTGTAGCCTTTTTTAAATATAACATGACATTAACATTCATTCAATAGATATTCTCAAGAGGCAAAGGACATTTTGAAGAGAAAATAAAATGATTAAATCAAAATAAAATAAGAATAAATATCACAGATCAAGTCAAGTAGCTTTTACATTGTTTTTCAGTAGGGCAGGTATTACTGAATTATAAATATTCCTTCATTCAATACAAAAGCTTTTAGATAATCAATTAATGCAACCTTTTTTGTGCTGTTCGGTCAGTAGGGCCACAAAAAAAAAAGTTGTTGATGAAGATGTTATTTTGTCTATAACTGGGCTTTTTCTCCATTTATAGATATAAGTAGAACACTATAATTACTTCAACTAACTCTCAGGACAGCTCTGCTTCACTTGAACCTCTGAAAATGTAAAATCTGAAAATGTAAGGCTTGTCCTGCCTTGGATTTTGGTGCAATTCAGTAAAACCACAATAGAAAATGGAAAGTGCATCCATCGGCAACATTTAAGGGCTTCATATAGCACCACATTTTTGCAGTAATTTTAGGATGTCATGGGTCTACAGCTGAAGAACATTTTTTTACTCAGTAAACAGAAAATGCCCTGAGAAGGAACTGTCAGCGGTCAGACCGCTGTCACCATAGTCAGACACAAGATAGACCTTGTCCCACTTCTCAAGCTTGATGATCATACTGCCACTTGCTGAGATGTAACCGCTGTGCCTGGTGGTGAATGAGTGCAGAACCCTTTTTCCATTGCGCATCAGATCCACAGTGGCCTCACGGTTGTAAATGGTGGCGTGAAACTGAAACTCATAAACACCCCGATACTCACACGTAAAATACCCAGTATTGCTGTCATAGCTTTTCTGTCCATTGTAGATGACTTCGGAAAATTTCAAGGGTCCACCGACTTTGAGGATGTTACCGAGTCTCATAGAGAAGGCAGAATTAAACATGGTGCCTGGAGGCCCGGGGGCTCCAGGGGGTCCAGCAGGGCCGGTCAGACCACGGCGCCCTCTGGGTCCTGTATAAAAAACAGACATGAGTACAATTATACCAACAGGACCTTTCTATACAACCATTTTAAAGTTATAATTCTAAATGTAGGGTAAAAATGCATAAGCTGTAGTTTTACCTGCGGATCCATTTTGGTTAGATCCTGGGTAATAAAAAGAGGAAACAGTCAGTATTTTTCAAGGATTATAATGTTGGCACTGATCTTGTTTAGTTTACTGTGTCAGATTTCAGGACAAATACTAACCATCATCCTTCCATGCATCGAGGTCAAAAGCTTCGATGTTCGCACATGGGGTGTAACCCGATTCTCGAGGACGGTACTGGAAGGGTTTTTCTGGGACTTCAGTTATACCAGTATTGTCACAGATGATTCGGGCAAAAGAGGTGTTTTTCAGTGACTCCCTTTGGGCCTCAGTGAACACTCCATCGTTCTCCCACCAAAGTCTGAAATTGGACAATTTGTTAATATATAACGATATTGAATGTAAAAAAGAAAATAACAACACATACCATTTTCCACATTGTGAGCAATGTCAGTTGTGTAACATACCGGTCTCCCTTGCGAATCTTCTCAAACTGAGTGGCAATCAGGCAGGCAAAGAGAGGTCCCACTCTTCCTCCAGGGACAAAGGGCTCAGCCACTCCTCCAAGCCACACATCGATGTTTGCAGGTGTTCCATAGAGATCCATAAATTTGGTGGCCAGAACCGTGTTGTTTAACACTTCAGCCAGCTCTATCAGGTTACGTGGCTGTGAAAGCCCACAGAACTTGCGCCATTTGTTGTAGCCTATAAGGAAGTACACAGCGTTAAATTGTTGCCATGTTTTAGGTGTGTGATCTTTAATACCTGTAGGAACAATTATTTTATACCTAAACAATACATAGGTATAAAAACTAAATTACCAGAGATTCCATGGTCTCTGCCTCTCTGCATGTTAAGGGCAGCCAGATCCAAAGCCAACTTGTTGGTGAATTTGAAAAGCTTGTCCCTTAGCTCTTCAGGCATCATTTGATCCTGCGTGTTCAGCTTGGCCTTACTACCCACAAGGCCCCTCAGGACTGGGTCCAGACCACCTGAGGAACACAATAGATCATTTAGGGTCTAAACTAATTCTCTGATTAGGTAACAACAAACAAGTTAAAGATCTTGGCCAAACCTTCAAAGACGATCCTCCACGGTGTGAAGAAGGCTTTGTGAAGCATAGGGCTGGGGTATGTGGGGTGATCAATGAATTGCTCATTAAAACGAGGCATAACAGGCGGAATCATCAGGTGAGCAAATCGGTAAGCAGCAGTAGCGAACACATTAGAGATGCTGGGGTCAACACTGTCATCATAACCAGGGTAGGTGGACAGCTGCTTGGCCATGAAGTCTGGACCAACAATGTGAGCCAAGTAGTCCCTGAAAGTGATAACCTAAAAGACAGAAAACATTTTAATGAACAATGCTTAATAACGATCCCTTAAATCCTCATTGAAACTTTTTTGTAAGCGATTCAGCTAAACCAATTCCTAACCTGCAAATATGCTCCCATGATTTTGCGTGCCTCTTGGTAGAGCCTTTCTCCGTCCCAGTGAGGATTCAGCTTTTCCAGAGCACGGGCCAGCCGATTGTGCTCACGCAAAAACAGAGTGTGTAAAGTGGTCAACGCAATGTTCTCATTGGAACGCTCATCACCTTAAAAGTTGAGAAAAATGTGAGAAAAAGAGCTGTCAGCCCTGTGCAATGCTTGGAATGATCTAACACGTTCAACATTTGTACATCAGTGTATTTGCTGCCACTCACCAGCCTGAAAGCAGGGCACCTCCTCTGCATTTTCATCATTAGTCATGCGAGCTCGGTTGGCACAGATGTTGGACATCATGTCGGTGAAGGGCAGGAGCTCACGGCCGTTGTCATTGTGGATTTTGTTGACCCTCATCAGGCCATGATCTGAACTGAAATCCCGAAGTGAGCGAGCTTTGCTAGGATCTGAACCATACACCTGACCTACATCAATGAAAGCTGTAAGAGCGTTCATCTGCTGACGGGTGGTGCTGGAGCCAAAGACGTGGCCCGTTTGTCCAGAACCACAACCTGCAGCCGATCGGAAGAAAGGCATGCACTCTGCGTCTTTGCCAAAACGCTGGTCGTTGCTAGGAATCTGTAGGGAAGACGAGAAGAAGTTAGCATTCAATGTGTGTGTGTGTGTGTGTGTGTGTGTGTGTGTGTGTGTGTGTGTGTGTGTGTGTGTGTGTGTGTGTGTGTGTGTGTGTGTGTGTGTGTGTGTGTGTGTGTGTGTGTGTGTGTGTTTTAGATGTATGTCTTTCAATGGCGGTTCTAGACCAATTTCACTGGGGGGCAGAGAGGCACATTTAATGCTGGATAAGGCAGACAAAGACAGAGTTCAAGATTTACAATTCTTTCAGTTCAGTTTAACTTCAATGATGTCTGTTTTTTTGTAATGACACTGACCTTAAGGGGGAAGCAGGGCTCTGTGCGTTCACAGCTCTCGTCACAGTCGATCCCATTGTTGAATGAGCGGATAACAGGCGAGTGAGGTGTGAAGGTCAGGTCGTGGTCCGTCCACTGGCCAAAGATGGTTACCATGAAAGTGTAGAGTGGATCGCTTGTCACTTCATCGTTTCCTGTTGCCACAATTCGGTTGGACACTTCTAATACCTGAAGACACAGTGTAGACAGTGAGCACCTACTGTAGTAGTACTACATTCGTCCTTTCTTCATTGTCATTGACCATATTTTAAGGTGTCTTACCAATGGCAGATAGTGATTGTTGATAGTCTTATTATCCCAGCCTCTTGGTTTATAAGTACTATCCTCGTACTCAGCAGGGAGCCAGCGGGTGAAAGGTGTATTGCCGGAGCCAAAAAGGAGGTGTTCCCTATATTCAAGAAATAATAAATGAATTAGTGCTCATCTTTAATGTTTTTTTTGTATTTATTTAATAAAAATGATAGGTGGGAAACCTAGACAGCTGCTTACAACCAATACAGTAACATGAAAACAAAAACAGAATCAAACTACTCATAAGTTAGTAATAAATGAAAGCTATATGTGCAGTTGTCCACAATAGTCAGGGAAATTAAATGTAAGGTTTCTATTTAATAGTTGACTCACTGGTTGTTGCAGGTGCTGCTTGCTGTGCGATACGGCGAATAGAAACTCGCCCCGCAGGAAGGGGACCGATGTCGGGGGGAGCAGCCTGTCAGATCAGCGATGACCCCCAGAGTCTCCTCAGTGATCAGATCTAAATGAAGTAAGAAACATTAGTGACTCAGCTGCAGAGGTGGGAAAAGTTCTCAGATCTTGTACTTGAGTAAAAGTAGAAGTACCAGAGTGTAGTAATCTACAAGTTAAAGTTCTCCAATAAAAATGTGTAAAGTAAAAGTAGCAAAGTGTTAGCATCAAAATGTACTTCAAAAGTATAAGTTCTCATTATGCAGATTGGCCCATTTCAGAATACTATACATGTTTTGTTTATTTATTGATGCATTCATGTGTCTATCAAAGATGGTTGATTTGCAGCTAGTTTTAATAACGTTGTATTCTTCAGGGTAGCTTGTGAATTTACTCCAGGTATAACTAACGTTTATTTAAGTGTTTATTACATTTCAAATCATGAATCAAAATCTGAAAACAGTAACTAAATATATTTATAAAATGTAGTGGAGTAAAAGTACACGATTTACCTCTGAATTGCAGTGGAGTAGAAGTGCAATGTATAGCCAACAATTGATATACTCAAATAAAGTACCAAAAAATGTTACTTAAGTACAGTGAGTAAGTCTACTTTAATAATAATAATAATAATACATGGGATTTGTATAGCGCTTTTCCTAATGCTCAAAGACCTTTTACATAAAATCAGAACAGAAACAATACAAAGAAACCAAAAAACGTAACGATATACAGATGTTTCTAAGGAAAGTGACGGGGAGCTGTAAATGTTGCACACCTGTGGCATTGATGGAGCGTCTTCGTCGTCTGTGCAAAGACTTCTGGATCAGCTCTACGGCGTAATGCATGTAGTCTGCGGCGCGCACTGCATTTCGGGTCAGCCCAACAGGCTGCTTCAACGTCCGCAGGATGTCTGAGGGACTCACCGTATTCCGCCTCACGCGTTCAATGCTCCTGTGTGGTGAGCAGAGACAACATTGATGAATTCATACATTAATAGGAACTAATACCTTCGATTTAGTCTTTCAAAAAGGTTTGTACACTCACACTTGTCTGGAGTATTCGTAAGCTGAGTCAACATTGGCCTTGGCTGCGATCACAATTCTCTCAATCTCAGCTCTGCTCAAATGCGATTCTGAAATGCCACATCAGAGACTTTTACAAGATATATTTGTGATGCAATACTGTAACATAAAACTCAAACATTTGAACTGAGATAATTATTTCTGAATCAAGGCAAGTTTATTTATATAGCACCTTTCAACACAAGGTAATTCAAAGTGCTTTATAAAAATGAAAAACATTAGGAGCATTAAGAAATAGTGCAGCCGCGGAACACATTATAAAATGACATTTAAAAAAGGTCATTATAACGAGAAGGAGGATAAAATAAACATAAAACAAGCAAATAACACAGGTATAAAAAATCATTAATAAAAGCTATGTAACCTATGAATAGTTCAATTAAAAGCAGCGGCAGAAAGAAAAGTCTTGATCTAAAAAACGTACAATAAGTCAAATATTTAAATATATCTTAGTGGCTTTTGTAAGCAAGAGGAAGGTGGAAGCACTCACCAGCATTCACCTGGCATTGCGAGCTAAGGTAAAGCCCTGCAGCCAACAGGCACAGAAAACCCTTCATTGCTGCAAAAAAGACAAATAGGCCTATGATCCAGTCAGTGAAGCAAGAGGTGCAAATCTTCAGCCACTCTCAGAAGTGTGCTGCATGTAAGTTGTCGGACAATTTATAGCCGGTGTGTCGCTTCATTGCCGCCCATTTGTTGTCCGGAATTCCGATCTTTTCTTCCGCGTTCTCACTCAGCATCCCTGTTGAGCAACTTCAAGTCTGCCAATTAATGACGATCAGCGAAATAAATAAACCTCGCACGAACTGTCAATCAAAAAATCAATGTAGCTGCATGCTTTCACCGTGTTATGAATCTTGTTTTTCACAGAAGAACAGAAACTCTTAGAGATAGTTAACCCGAGAAAAAAACGTTTTCACACATATTACACATTTTGCGTTGTCATTTATTCGTCAATAATCATTTTCACCATGAATAAATGTCTTGTTCATATTTATTTGTAAATTCTGCATACATTTATAATATAATACTTTTGGATTAGAGAGCTCCAGCGCTTCACTTTAAGAAATGATATTCTGAAAATGCTCTCCCTCTTAATGTGTTACGTTACAGTTTTTCCATAACACAAAGTTACATTCCCAAATCTGGATTGTTAATTTTAATTTTTACTGTATTTTTGTGTCTATTCCTTTCAAGGTAATTTCTTGTTTCGAGTTTTGAGTATTTATTAAAACATTTTTGAAAAGTGCTTTGTGAATATTATGTGGGTCTGGTCCTACACATAAAGGTCTAGACGATAACGCATTCCACTATAGTATGTAAGTCGATTCCGGTAAAATTAGTTTAAGGAAGTGAATCGTGACGTAACAGTCAAGTTCCTGAAACTCCAAGGATACTGTGTGGCTGCATGCCATTGAAACTCAGCATTGCGTTTCCTGCCAAACGAAAACATCTTCCTGACCTGGACCAATGCTGAAATAAAGGGTCTGATGTTGTCCTATAGACCCGTGAAATAATTAACAATATGTCTACCAGCACCTGAGCATTGGATAACAGCTCATTTAATAACCGGCTAATGTCCAAGCTTTTCAATATGATGACAACTTTTAAGACGATCCCAGCTTTTGAATAAACGAAAATTAATGTGTGCTTCCTTTTTGTTGGGATTCTAAACATATATATTAGGCCTACATATAAATACCACTTAGGGTTATATAAAGTAAAGTTTTTAAAGTATTATTTTATTTTATTTGCACACAAAAAAACGTACTTTAACTTGCGCAGCTTTCTGCACAATAGGGGAACATTACTTTTTTTTATTACATTTGGATATTAAACGCAATTTGGGGGGGGGGGGGTTGCTGTATATCGGTGTGTTGTTGGTGCACAAACACGCACGCAGACACGCACACACACACACACACACACACACACACACACACACACACACACACACACACACAATGATAACTTGTTCTTATCATCTCAACAGATTCCCAGCCAAGACCCTCTGCTTTGGGGGAAACACAGAAGACTGTACTTCTTTCTTTGGATGTATTTGTGCTTTTAAGAACTATAATTCTCATTGTGATGGTAAGCACTAATCCCCATCTGCTATAATTAGGTTTCTGGGCGAGTCTCGTGTTCCACCTTTATTATTATTAATACCTGTGCATGTCATCAAGTCAAATCTCTACTAACAGAAGCAGCCAGTTTATCAAACTCAACTCTTTTATTGCGAACCAAGTTGAGAACAGAGTTTCAATTTTACAGAATCTTATTTTATTATTATAAATTGACCTCATTGCATGCAGTCAGAGATCACACATCAGATTGACAATTGATGTGCTTTAAGCTAAACCACATACCTTGGCTTTTGGTAACCCAGGTGTGTCCATCTTTAAAAGTATGTTGCCCTTTGTTTAAATGATTCCTTGTCATGCAATGCCAGCGCCAGAATTTTTCATTATGTAATCCAATTCTTTTTTGGGCAAAGACCAACAATGTGCTCCCGAAGAATGTTGGAATTTGAACGATTTCTTTGTTTTATGTGATCAATTACAAAAATTAACACTACAAGATACACATTTCCAAGTGGTTTATGCTTGATAAGCTGGGTGGCCTTTTGAATTCTTCTCCACATGTTAGTTGAATGGATCCTGGAACTGTATATGTTGTGAATGAAAGCAAACTGTATCCCAACAGCAGCCTACAGGGAAATCAAGGTTCATTTTGCAGGCATGTCAGCACACGGCTGAGTCCAGCAAACAGCTTATAGCTACCTAAAGTTAAAATGTTTTAGCATGAATTCACTCTTGATATAACTTGAGCTGGACTATGTTTGATAGGTTTCTGGCATTGTATCAACATAGACATTAGCACGAACAGGATTGCAAATTGGCTCAACAGGTTGTTTCTTCGTTCATTCCTCCATACATGAGTAATGCTCCTGTACGGCATGGAGATGTCGGATCATTGAGCATTGACATAATATAGTGACACACGACCTGCAATATTTTTATACTTTCATTTGAGCAGTCCACTGCAAACTTTAATCACAATCTCTTTAAATGTTGATGTCTTGTAAACTCCTGAAGCTATAATGCAGGTTAATTCAGGTGAACAATATCACTGCAAACCTTGCTGTAGGAACTGTTATGTCATGGTAAATGTTCTTCTGTGAACATCTTATTCAGCTTTATTTAAATAACTAAATAGACATAGTCATTCGCAAGTGTGAATAATGAAGCTTTAAAGCTTATATAGCACTTTTCATACAACACATGCAGCTTAAAGTGCTTCACAAAATGACACATCACAAGTTAAAAATAAACCCTAAGAAATTCCCCTCAGATCATCTGCCAATAACTTTAAAGGTGCAGCAAAACATAACATCTGATCAGGCCAAGAGACACAAGGAGGTAAAATGTAACAAAAATAACATCTGATCAGGCCAAGAGACACAAGGAGGTAAAACGTAACAAAAATAACATCTGATCAGGCCAAGAGAAACAAGGAGGTAAAATGTAACAAAAATAACATCTGATCAGGCCAAGAGAAACAAGGAGGTAAAACGTAACAAAAATAACATCTGATCAGGCCAAGAGAAACAAGGAGGTAAAACGTAACAAAAATAACATCTGATCAGGCCAAGAGACACAAGGAGGTAAAATGTAACAAAAATAACATCTGATCAGGCCAAGAGACACAAGGAGGTAAAACGTAACAAAAATAACATCTGATCAGGCCAAGAGAAACAAGGAGGTAAAATGTAACAAAAATAACATCTGATCAGGCCAAGAGACACAAGGAGGTAAAACGTAACAAAAATAACATCTGATCAGGCCAAGAGACACAAGGAGGTAAAACGTAACAAAAATAACATCTGATCAGGCCAAGAGACACAAGGAGGTAAAATGTAACAAAAATAAAAGAAACTCGTTAAATCATAATGGTCTGCTTGTTTTTGCAAAGATCATATGCAAATGTAATACAAATACATCAAAAGACTTGACATTAAAGCTATACATCATAAGAACAATGAGTTTGAATTAGATTTTGTTAAGGTGACTTCTCAAATCAGATTAGAACGCTGTTGCTCTTGTCAGTAGTTGTTTATAGGATTATAATGTGATTGTAAGTTGCACCTTTGATGGAAATACAGGAACATTCAAATACATTTCCATAATTAAAAGCTGTCCTTGACAAAAATATATTCACTTGTGTGTCTGCTGTCTTACGAACTAAACAACGACTAACTTAAAAATTACAATATAGATTGAAATCAAACGCTTAAGAAACTCTTCAGATTTATAAAAGTTACAGGCTTGGAGGTGTATATATATCTCTCTTGCCCTATTCGTTCTCCCCAGCTGACACGGAAAAACCTTTCTGTCATGGAAAAGAAGTGCGTGACTTCAGCTCCACTTAGAAATATTCCCCTCATTGAGTCTTCTCATTGTGTTGACTGATATAGATCCATGTTCATTCCCCATTGTTCGGGAGGTTATAAGGAAGGCTCTTCATTTCATTACTAATTGTTCTCTCCTGTATTCATTGTATAGTCTGGTCTGATTGTTTTGCAAGTTGGTCATGTCATTGTAAGTGGCTACTGTCAGGAAAAAAAAAATGATTCCATATAAGCTGTCAATAAAAAATTGGCTTTAACCTGTGTGCCTGCTGTCTGAGGAAATAAACTCACTAATTTAAACCGACAATATTTAGATTAAACGTTGAAGGAACTATCTCACATCATATGTTATGTGCAGGTGTGCATATCTCCGTCCTCTGGCATGGAAACTGTGTAACTTTAGTGCTGCTTTTAAGTCTTTTTCCTCCTTTAGACTTCTCATTGTGTTGACTGATGACCCGTTTTGTTTTCGCTCCCCTTTTTCAGGGAGGATGAAAGGGAGTCATTTAGTTTAATTTCAGATTTGTCTCACTTGTACATGTGTTAATAGTCAGGGGTTATTTTTGCAAGTTACTAATGTGATTGCGAGTAGCTACTGTGCTCAGGAATGCAGGAAAAAGTAAATAATTTGTCATGATTTCAAGCAGGCAGGAGCAACATTTGGTGACCCTAAATGTATTTTTAAATCCAACGAATGTGCCCCCCAAGGTATCCTTACATAGGAGAATGGCATGGTGCAGTTCCAAATCAGATGCCCTTCATGCTAGTAAACTTTCTGCGTGCTGGTGCCAAACACAATGTAGCTGTTGCCGGTTTCATCCATTTGGATTTTCCCATCTGACAGCCAGAGTATGTCAAATGTCAAACTGTCTCTTATACTGCCTGACAACGCCACACAGTTCTTCAAGTTCATCCTATAGTTTCGGGCAGATTGAATAACCAGACTACTGAGACTCTGACAAACGTCTACTGATGATCATAAATCATTCAGATAGCTATACTGTGTGTAGGCCTAAACCAGCTGAGGAAGGGTTTTGTTATGAACATTTTGAGTTTATATTTGACCATGCATGTATACAATATGATGGCACATGATGCACATACAAAAAAGAAAGACTCCCCACATCATTTACAATTTCTTCTCACCCTAGAGAGATCTTCATCACGTTTTCTCTACTGATAAAGAAAACAGAGTGATCGTATCGTAGGGTTTGGCCTCAGTAGTCATATGATTA